CAGTTTAACCAGGTTGATTAATGTATTTATAACCAGCCAGACGAAGTACTATTTTTAACCCCGCAGGGTTAACCACTCAGGATAACCCAAGAAAGGCAGTACGTCATCGAGGACTGTCTTGTTTCCATTGGGGTCATCAATCTTGTCCCCCAGGATGCGACCCACACCAGTCGACTAACACCCAGGTACCTACTTACTGCTAGGTGAACAGGACAACAGGCGTAAGGAAATACGTCAAAATGTTTCTACCCCGCAGGGAATGGAACCCGGGCACTCTGTGTGTGAAGCAAGAGCTTTGCCGGCCAGGCTATGGTTACTGTTGTGTAACATTTAGCCATATATGTATACTGTGTGTGTAACATCCATAGGTAACATTCAGACTATGTATATCAATAAAATATATAACTGCCTTCATTGTTTATTATGAAGCTCATGGATTAAGTAGTAATGCCTTCAGCTCACAACTAAAGGACCTGGTTCGATCCTCGGATAAGTGGAGATATTGGACATTGTGGCATCACCTAGCATGAAAAGTGCAGAAGGGAAGGAAAATAAATTAACAAGGAATTGTCAATATAAGGCTGCATCATAAGTAGGCAATGTACTTGCCTAGTCAGGTCCTGGCCCTACCTCTGCTACAGTACTTGTGAAACTGCAAACTGTTTTACTTCTGTAGCCACAGGGGTAATTGCATTTGGCCTCACAAGCCTACCATACCTACTCTTAAAACATCCCAGCTGAACCACTTGCGAGCAACTTTTATCACTGCAACTCACTTTAACTTCCATCTAAGGCCCTTTGTACCTTGTCCCCTCCTTTCAGTATGCCTCCATCAATTTTCCAAAGTATTTTGTATACTATGATAATGGCTTCCCTGGTTCTCCTCTCTGTGTGGGGTAAACGTAACATGCATGTAGGTGTGTGGAATTCAGGTTAATCAGTGGGATTACTCAGGCTACTCTGGTTTTCTTGTCCAGTACAGTTATTAAATCTCAGTAGGATAATACTATTAACCAATAATTAGTGGGTAGAAATGGAATAAAACTACACAATGAATAACATTATTTAGCATTATGCTTCATTACAGAACTTTTGCACATTTTCTTACGAACCTTATAAATGTAGGTAGCTGTGCTGTATGACCCTTGCAGGTTTAGCACTTTTTTGATTACAATATAATAATAATAAAAGTAGGTAAATGACTTGCCAAACTGAAGGACCACTTTGGGCAATGTAAGCCCTCCCATAATTGAGATCAAAACCTACACTTTCTGAAAAATAAGCTATGCAGAATTATACCTCAGCTTCTGCCTGAAATAGTAAAGCAAAAATATTCTATAATATATTCTGTATTATCATGTTTTTTTTAACACAGTGGCTGTCTCCCTCCTAGGCAAGGTGACCCAAATTAAATATTTACCACCTTTTACTCAATCGCCATCTCCCGTAGCTCAGTTGGTAGTGCACTTATCTCACACGCTGGGAGTCCATGATTCAATCACCAGTACAGGTGGAAACACTGGGTATATTTCCTTACACCTGCTGTCCCCATTCACCTAGCAGCAAGTAGGTACCTGAATGTTAGTCGACTGGTGTGGGTCACATCCTGGGGGTTGGTAGTACACCTCAGATAGGCCTGGGGCTTTAAAATGAGCTGAGGTAGGATAACAGCTCATAGCCTTTAAAAATTGTGTAAAAAAAAAAAAAAAAAGATGTTCTTACATCAAAATCAGATTACCCCTTCAACTGCAACTTCCTCCACTCCAGAATTCAAGTCTGACTAATTGGTTTTCTTAAATTCCTTCACAAAAGTTACCTTGCTCACACTCCATCAGCATATCTATTAAAAACTACTTGCCTCCATTCACTCTTACTTAACATGCTCACAAAAACCTTACAAAGAGCACTTTGCAAGCATCAAGGCAACCTCTCTTAAAGGAAACAATTTATAGTTAGACCTACAATTTGATAAGAGAGAACAAGCTCTCTCTCCCCTGCACTACCAACTGTTAATTTATTACAAATATTTCCAACATTACTGACATGCATTAAGATCATGAACTGTCACATAGCTAATGGGAATTGCTCACTTATTTTGGTGCTTCGCTCACAGTTTTATGCAAGAGGATTCTAGTTTTATAATTTTACAATGGCCACTATTAATAATTTTGTGTTCTGCCTTATCTTTGGGAAGCCCTATTCTTGGAATACTTAGGGCAGAGTTGCTGGCTGCAAGACTAGGTTTCTGGCCAGCTAAAATAGTCAGTATATCAACTCCAATGAATCAGTTACTGTACCTGGACTGAATCCTGTACATTGTGGTTGGTCTCGTCAAAATATCCTCTCTCTTCAGACAAATTTAGTAGTCTTTTTTTTATACGCTTAATTATAGCGGATTACAGTAGAGTCAAACCTCCAGATTTTAAGGGGTTATTTTCCTGGACATGCCCCTTGAGTCCAGAATATTCGAATATTGGACCACTAAAATAAACAAGTGTAGATTAGATCACCATATAATAAATACTCAATGAAATAAACCTGTAAAATAATATCCATTGTAAATTACATGAAAAACTAAATTAGATTTATTTACCTTTTAGGCAAAAAAAAAAAAAAATGAAATTATCTTTGGGAAACTTTTCAGTAAAAAAGTTGGATAGTCAAATTTTGCAGATGTGAAGGTATAATGGCATATGTTGAAAATTTAATTTGGGAATGTAATGTATTCATGGAAAAAATTATAAATTCATACTAGTCAGTAGAAACAAGTGCATATCAAAAGAAAAAAGTCTTACATAAATAGCTATCATTTTTTTTATGTGAAAATGTGTATTAAGTGACAAAAATAGTAGTCACTAAAAGAAACAATTCAACCTTTGAAAACTAGTACCTATCTTACAAAAACAAAAGGGTGTAGTCTAAAACAAATCAGTACAGGTCAGCCATTACTAATCCGGCATCATTGGGACCTGTAGTGCCAGATTAGTGAGTTTGCTGGATTACAGAGTGGTTAGGTTAGAATACACTTAATTAACCTATCAGTAGAGAGACTTTCTGCTACATCTTCCTCATTTTCATTATTACTTTCTCCTCTACTAGCTTGCTGCTGTGGATTTACAACTATCTGCACAATTTTTGAGTCAGTATATTGATGAAATTTGAGACAGTATAATGATTTGAGTCAGTATAATGATGAAATTTGAAATTATGCTAGCCAAAATTAGTGCCAGATTACTGATGGAACTGGATAACTGATTGCCAGATTAGTGATAGCTGACCTGTACTGTAGTCTAACCCAGGCAATCACTGTGTACCAATTTGAAGTTGTCAGCATACACAAATAGCAGTCATCTTACAAATACGTACAAGTTTGCCTAGTGCAAATATACATCAGCAATCATACACACAGCAGTTGTCTTGTATAAAAGAGCAGGCATCTAATGAAAATAGCAGTTGCATACAAAATTTTATGAGAAAAAACAGGTTATCCTAAAGACAGATCACAGTCAATCAAAGCCCAGGATTTGCATTTCAGAATACTTATTCTATAATTAATTTCATGTCAAGGATTTTTCAGGGAGAGGAAAATTCCACAATTCCTAATCAACAATGTATTCTATACCAATAGCTACAAGCCAGATTTCCTAAGGAAAATGTATGCCAAAGACTATTAATCACAATCCATAATCTGTATTCCAGTAATTCACCCTTTCAGCATTTAAAACAGAAATACAATATGTATAGCCTATGATACATTGTCTTATCAACCCTTGACAGCTGGTTCCATTTCAGTGAAGGTTTTAACCCTTTCAGGGTCCGTCCCGTAGATCTACGGCTTTACGTTCAGGGTCCAAACCGTAGATCTACGCCATGAGCTCAGCTCACTCTGATAAACTGAGTGGTACATTTGGGCCTAGATATGAGAGAATACATCTATGTGGTATGTGTGCACCACATAAAACAGATCCTGCAGCACACTGTGTATAATGAGAGAAAAAAAATGAAATCATGATTTTTCGATTAAAACAGCAACTTTGCAGTGTTTTTTCGTATGTTTTTTATAGTTGTATTTGCGATTTCTTGGTCTCATTTGATAGAATGGAAGACATATTACAGAAATAGAGATGATTTTGATTGGTTTTAGCACTGGAAATGGCTTGAAACTGAGCTCAAAGTAGCAGAAATGTTAAATTTTTGCCGATATTCAAGAATAAACAAATGACCTCACACGTCTAATACACACCAGCTGGTGGGTCTAATATACATTCACAAATATGGTGATGATATTTATACAATTATTACAGTATTGCATAACAGTAAATCTTCTATTTTTGGTGTGAATAAAAATTCATTATGTGAATAAAAAATCAAAATGGAATTTATTTGTAAAGCCTCAAAACATAACTAATGAACAGAGGAAATGTTAGTTTAGTGCCAGGAATGCCTACATTGTTCATTCTGGACCCTATTTTGAAATTGGAATATTTTGAACTTTGTGTTAAATTGGCCAAATTAACAATTTCCGATCACTTTATTTTGTAATTGAAACAGTTGACTTGGCGATTTCTTGTGCTCAATCGATAGAATAGAAGTAATACTAGTGAAATAGCTAAGAATTTGGTTGATTGGAATAATGTAATTGGCCTAAAATGGGAGTCAAAGTCGGCAAAATCGCCGATTCGTAAATATCGCTGACACATCAAAATTCGCGAGAGCATAATTTCGTCAATTTTCCACCAAATTTCGTACTTTTTGTTTTATTACCTTCACAAAAAGATTCTCTACGATTTCATAAGAAAAAATAACAAATTTTTTTTTTAAAATTCTTGGACACTGGTGCGTGACTCCAGATTTGGGCCTTGGACCCTGAAAGGGTTAAGCAAATGCACTAATTCAGAGAATTCAGAATGGATACATATGGAAATGATACCAGTAATTAAGCAGTAAGATAGTCCCTCAGCAACACTATATAGGAGATCATTAGGTAAATAAGAACACAATTTAAAAGAAAACTTTATTAAAAATATGTGCATTAATTTTTACCACAACATTAAGTAACAGTTTTACAGTACAATACAGTTTATATTTTTTTATTTGGCATTACACAAGAAAATTTTATATTGTAAATATTCCATGTTTAAAGCTATGTTGTAGTGGAGTCTTTAATGACTTATTCTATTCAATTCCTACTCACTGCTTCCCCAGTATTCAAAATATTTTTGCCCATATGCAAGTATCAAGCAAGTTGTAATTTGAGAAACATGAATGTCCCATACACTTTCACTACTCATAATGATCTCAGTCTGTTTTCTATTGTTTTTAATGCTCAATTCTGACTTTATTCTTGAGAAGAAGTAAACTTGCCTATTATATAACACATGCTATGTTATCTTTGATCAAGTTCATATGTAAATCCTATTTCTAGTATTTTACATCAAATTCTACAAATACTGAATACCACTTAACTTCATCATTTTACTATTAATTAATTTAATAAACTATTGCTTTTCTATATTTCTTTATATACCAATTATGTATTTGGTACTGTAACCAGACTAAAGAGATCCAGGAATCTTCCAGGTGAGCAGAATTTCCATTTGAACAAAAGAAAATGAAAAATCTGCATTTAGCACACTGTTTTCAAACATTACATCTCTAGTGCCTCTAATTTCCTCCTTGCTGTAATGTTTAATGCCCATGCCTCACACCTTCAAAAAAGAATTGGTATTACTACATTCTAGTACACTCCCTTTTCATCTCTATAAAAATACTTCTTTTCAGACATCTCAACACAACTTACTTTTTACCCTCATCTATTCTCTGATTTATCTCCCCTTTCATGGACCCATCTGCTGATATGTTCGCTCCCAAGTACGTATAAATGCATTTACTTCCTTTTCCAATCTGATATCCACTCTTTCATGATCTTAAGATTTTATTCTCATAACCTTGCCCTTTTCTATGTTCACACTTAATTTATCTTTGCAACTTGTCTCCAAAATCTCCCCAAAGAACTGTCATAGGCAAATAGCAACTGTGGCAACTACCAGCACTTTGCATCGAATTCATTGTCTTTTAATCCCACATCTTTTCCTGACACCCTAGCATTCACTTTTACAGCCCAGTCTATAAATAAGCTAAACAACCATGGTGATATTACACATCCCTATGGCCTACTGCTTTTAGTAACCAACATATTACATTCATTTTCATTTCACATTGCTTCTCTATCCACTCTATCATATGCCTTCTCTAAATCCATAAATGCAACAATCAGTTCTGGACTGAAAGAAATTGGGTAGTAAAAAACTAAATACTGCTAAAAAATGAGCACATATTACATGGTGTACCAATAAACACTGGAAAGATGTATGTATGATGAAGGTCAAAACTGTGTCCACAAACCAAGCAAGAAAATTATTTTTCTATTTTCCTTATTCTTTACCATTTGGGCCAAAATTCTGGCCATTTCTGATTTTTTCAGAATGAAATTGAAAAATGAATGTGACAATCAAAATTCGTACTGGTTTAGAGAAGGTAAGTTAAGGCAACTATTACTGAACAAGTCCCATTATCCAATAAAAATCATCAAACAGTAATATCTTGATAACTTTAGACTGTTTTTGTTTAGAGCAGTCAAGATCTTCACATATAATATTTAGATTAACAAATTGCCAAGTACAATTACTTACTGTGGTCCAAGGATCACCTTGTCAAACAATCACTCTTTGTGGTCCTGCTAAAGATAATAGACAGGATGATGCTTGCTGAACACTGTATACCACTGGAATATCCTTACCAGCCACTCTCATGGATGGACAGACTGTCAGAGCTGCTCGAACTTTGGCATAATTGCTGCTAGGAACTCTGATAATTACTTTTCCACACTTGGAATCAAACTTTAGGATATCCAATGGCAAGCTTGATGACACCTGAAAGAAACAAATAATGTGTGTGTGCTGGGTTCTTATGTGTGTGCTGGGTTCTTATGTGTGTGCTGGGTTCTTATGTGTGTGCTGGGTTCTTATGTGTGTGCTGGGTTCTTATGTGTGTGCTGGGTTCTTATGTGTGTGCTGGGTTCTTAAGTGTGTTTATTCTTTTATATGCTGGCATTCTTCATATTACTAAAACTAGGAATGGTATAGAGAGCATCAAACCAGAGTAAAACATGTGGAATATCATTACACTCAAAATAGACACTAACAAAACAAGTATGAGTAGTCTTACTTCTCAAAAAAATTTACTGTCTTGACTAAGTGGGTGCATCTACTGCTTCAATGTATGGACTATTGTGTATGTAGGAAATGCAAGTTTGCAAAAAGAAGATGCATTATAATTACAATAATAGGTAAATGGTGTATACTATTTCTTGCAAGGAAAAGCTCATAGTTATGCAAAGCATCTGGTAAGTAGATTTCTCTGCTTATGTTTCATGAGTTTCCACCACTTGGCCAAGGGGAGAGAGTGTTCTTTTTGGTATCACCAATGGAGAAAGCAGGCAGAGATAATAAAAAATATCTTCGGTGATGTGTGTCAGCTGTTTAGTAGTGTCTTCCTCTTGCTTCCTAGTCAATTTACTGCCTTTGTACTTGTGATGTGCTTCATATGTCACTAGATGAGCATGTGTCATGCATTAGTTAAATCTCTTGTCAATGATTTTGTAATTATGTAGCATGGGTGGAAATTTTAGGTCAATTATAAAAGCATTATAAAGTAAAAAAAAAATAAACACATGACAAAAATGAAAATAAAAATAAACTTTTCTAAAAACAACAGTTTAACTACCCTATGTATACTCAGCAACATTGTTCTCCTCGTTTAAAAATTCAAACCCAGTTGATAAGACTGATAAGATTATAATGCTGATTGGCAAATATATATGACTGGGCTAAACCATACATAATGATAGATGGAATGAGGGGGGATGTACCAACAAGGTTTGAGGATACAGCACTACTTCCTCAGTTTACATAAATTACTATACACCCTGAGTCCATGGAAATACATATAGTAAACATTTAAGTAGTACAGTGGAACCCCAGTTATCAGCCAGTTCTGTTATCAGCCAACTTGGTTATTGGCCAACTTGGCTATCAGCCGGTTTTTCGATGCCCGGTTATCGGCCGTTAATTCAGTTATCGGCAGTTTGGGATGTGTCCATCCGCCAGCTGGGGCCGCTTGCATGTCAGTCTGGCTTTGTCTCTCGGTGGCTGAGGAAGCTTCTGCTCATACATCCAAACATTTTGCTTATTTTCCATTGTTTTTAGTGTTCTTTTTTTTTTTGCAATGCAACTATGAAATAAGTAACCATGGCTCCAAAGAAAGTTCCTGTGGTAAAGAAAGTGAGAAACACCATGGAATTTAAGCGTGAAGTGATAGAAAAGTTTGAAAGTAGTATGAAGGTGGTGGAACTTGCCAGGATGTACAGCATGAATAAATCAACAATTACATCCATCCTGGCAAAGAAAGAACAAATCAAAGATGCTAATGTTGCAAAAGGAATAACTTGTCTAACTAAACAAAGGCCACCAATAATGGAAGAGATGGAAAAGTTATTATTATTGTGGATTAAGGAAAAGGAATTAGTGGGAGACAGTGTTATGGAGTCTATTGTTTGTGAGAAGGCAAGGCAGTTGCATGAGGATCTTGCAAAGAAAATGCCTGGAACAAGTGCTGCAGTTTGTGAATTTAGGGCCAGCAAAGGATGGTTTGATACAATTAAGAAGCATAATGGCATACACAGTGTTGTAAGGCATGGTGAGGTTGCAAGTTTTGACAAATGTGTGGCTGAAAAGTATGTTCACGAATTCGAGGACTATGTAAAGGCTGAAGGATTCGAACCCCAACAAGTGTTCAATTGTTACGAAACAGGCCTGTTTTGGAAGAAAATGCCAAACAGGACCTACATTACCCAGGAGGAAAAGGCACTGCCAGGACACAAGTCTATGAAAGACAGGCATAATCTTTTGTTGTGTGGTAATGCTAGTGGGGATTTCAAAATGAAGCCTTAACTCGTGTATCACTCAGAAAATCCCAGTGTGTTCAAGAAAAACAATGTCATGAAGAATAGATTGTGTGATGTGGAAAGCTAATCATAAGGCGTGGGTCACAAGGCAAATTTTCAAAGAGTGAGTTAATGATGTGTTTGGCCCAAGTGTGAAAAAAAACCTCCTGGAAAAGAAATTGCCACTCAAGTGCCTCCTGTTACTAGACAATGCTCCTGCACATCCTCCAGACTTGGAAGACCAAGTGTTTAGGGACAGTTCTGGAGGAATCACTTCATTATCCTCCACTGCATAAGCCTTATAGGTAAGGCTTGGGAGGGAGTGACTTCCAGGACTTTGAACTCTGCTTGGAGAAAACTGTGGCCAGATTGTGTCCAAGAGAGGAATTTTGAAGGGTTTGAGGCTGACCCTGACTTTGCTGACCCTGACCCTGCTAGTTGGAGGTGAGTGGCAAGGATGTGGAAGAGTTGGTGTAGGACCACAGGGAAGAGCTAACCACTGAAGAGCTGCAAGAGCTTCATCTCGAACAGCAACAGACTGCAGCTGAGGAATTTGCTTCAGAGGAGGAAGAAGGAGGTGCCTTCTTCAGAGATTAAAGAGGTGTGTGCAATGTGGACTAGGGTGCAAGCTTTTGTAGAGAAACACCACCCTGACAAAGCTGAAACAAGCCATATCTGCAACATGTTTAGTGACAAAACCCTATCCCACTTCAGGGAAATCTTAAAGAGATGCCGGAAACAGAGAACTCTGGACAGTTATTTTGTGAGACAGGGGGGTTCAGTGACTCTCAAGCTGGGCCTAGTGGCATTAAAAGACAGAGAAGGGAAGTAACCCTAGAGAAGGCTTTGCTACCTATTCTTTATGGAGGGGGTTTCCCCTTCCAAACACTAACTTCTCCCTCTTTCCTCCTCCCTATCTTCCAGAAGCCAGCATTAGCCTTCAATAAAGGTATGTAATACTTACATAATTGTTAAATTTTTTTTTTTTTTTTTTTGTGAATATTTTTGTTTGGAACGGATTAATTGTATTTCCATTAATTCTTATGGGAAATATTAATTCGGTTTTCGGCCATTTTGGTTATCGGCCGACCTTCTGGAACGGATTACAGCCGATAACCGGGGGTCCACTGTACCTACTACACAAGCCATCAATCTCTTATGCAGGAAAATTGACGATTCCCTTGATCTTGATATTCCAGCCAGAGATTTCATCGACCTTGTTGAACTATGTGTTGGCTTTATGTATTTCTCCTTCAAAAATCACCTCAACAGACTTTTGGACTACACATGGGTTTGCCACTTAGTGCCGTCCTGGCGAACCTATACATGTACATGGAACATACGGAAGCTGAGCGATTTTCCACTAATTTTCCCTCTTCTCTCACCTGGCTCCGTTATGTTGACAACATTCTCATAACTCCCACACACTTCAACGTTCAAGCTCTCCAACACAAGCTCAAAAAGGTCAAGCCCTCTATCCAGTTCACACTAAAAGAAGAAGTTGACAACACTCTTCCTTTCCTCTATGTTCTTCTCTGCAAAGCTGACCATGAACTTCATTTTAAAGTCTATCAAAAACCTACCAACCAACACAATCTTCTGCATGTCTACCCTCCCCTCGACACCAAAACTAAATGTGGTGTAATTATAGGCTTTTTCCTGCATGCACTCAGAATCTGCAGTAGTGAGTTCCTTGAGGAGGAGTGCTCTCTTATTGAACAAGTATTTTCTAAACTTCATTATCCTTGTCACTTCATTAGAGACTGCAGACGACGGGCATTAAACATCTTTAACGCACCCAGAGAAGACAATGGCAAGAAGAGATACATAGTCCTCCCCACCAACTCCATTGTTAAACACGTTTCCAACATCTTTTCCAATATCTCATTCCAAGTACATATCTACCTCCACATCCACCACCATCAAGGACATTACCAAAACAGGACAAGCTTCAATCCTCTGCAGGGGTATACACAATCCTTTATAATGACTGCAGCAAATTATACGTCGGCAAAACATCCAGAGACCTCCAAACATGTATTTCAGAACACTAGTACGCAGGCAGATCTGACGATCCAAGGAATGCCTGTGTTCACCAATGAAATTCACACAACCATTTAATCAACTACAGAAACACAAGACTTATTGCTAGAGACGACAACACTCAATACCGAAGAATCCTGGAATCATCACTTATCTGTACGTATATCCCACAACTTCAACCAGAACAACGGCTTCTATAACATAGTTGAACCCCTTGCCAAGAAACTTCATCACTATCCCTCATAAGAGCATAAGAATAGAGGAACACTGCAGAAGGTCTACTCATATACTTATCCAATCTCTTGTAAAGCTACCCAAGATTGTAGACTATCACCCTACTCAGAAGATTGTCACATGCAGCATTCTCCATTTATCACCTTCTCCACCTGACCCAGCATTCTCCTATAAATACTTGCATATCTTTCACCCAGGTAGATCTGTTTGTGACTTGATAAAGCCCACTGCATGGGCAAAACGCTGTCAATAAATGATCACATTATACTACTTAAGTGTTCATATTTCCATTGTGTTGCTATTTTATGCCATTTATTTCCACCCTGAGTCCATGTCAGAGACAGGAAGCCCATTGCTTGTTGCAGCCCCACCTTCCCCACCAAAAGATTGTTCACATGGTCATCCATTAAGCTTCTTGCTTTATAACCTGACTGAACAACATGCTCGGTAATAACTTGCCTCTCCAAACATAGTATCGACAGCAGCTCGGAGGACAACTTGTACAAGATCAACTGTCATCTTGCAGGGTAAATCCTGATGACTATAATCCCTGTTCAGGAAAGATATGAAATGAATACATATTAGTTAGAAAAAACATTTCTTGTTAAGTATAAAGGAAATTTTTTTACATAACCAGATAGTAAATTATCCTATAAATATGCTTGACTGCTTATTGCAATACTGAAGCTATGGGTAAATTTTGAGAATAAAGAAATTCAAATACCGGTAACATCAAATTATAAAAAGTAATGATACATCATTTTTTAAAACACACGCCATCTCCCACCAAAGCATGGTGACACAAAATAGAGGAAACACATTAACCATCATTCATTCAACTTCTGTCTTGCCAGAAGTATGATGGATGCTCAAGCTTGTAGAACTTAAAACCTCCTTTAACCACCTCATTCAATTCTCCCTGGTATGACCTCTACCTCTCCTTCCTTCCATGCTACAATTATGTATCATCTTAGTCATATCCTGCTCCATCTTCTCTAAACGAGGAAATCCACTTAGGGGTAAACCTTGACTCTCTTGTTTATGATTCTGCTACACCTATATATGGATTTAGGCAAGCATAAGCTTTGTAATAGTCACTTACAATTAAGATGCCAAAATCTGACTTTCACATTTGTATGCAAGTAGTATAGCAAACAGACCAGTTTAAATTATAGCACAACAATGTCCACAATTAAGAAATGACTTGCCATCAAGTTGTTTCAAGGGCTGAAAGCAAATGTTTCTCAGCTGTTGAATTTATGACTAAGGCCATTTGAAGCAAAAAATATCAGAGAAGGTCAAGTTTGTTTGGATTACAATAAACTTGAGCAAGATCAGCTGACTGATTCATCAGCAGTGGTAAATATGGTGAATGATTTTTACGAGTATACAGTACCTAGATCAACAGTTAATTCACTTTCAGTAACTTGGAAATATGCACTAGGCTTCATTAATAGGTAACACAAAATGCAACAGCTTTAAATTTGCCAAAATGCAGTGCAGGACAGAAAAAAAAAAATTATTTTTCACGAAGAGATAAAAAATTTACATACCTACTTAACCACTACAAATAGTGGATAAATTATCATGGGGAGCACTAAAACTGTAAGGATTATACAGCACCTATGGGGAGGATGGAAGGCATTCAGTCTTAATTAAGGGAATTGGAGCACAGATCCAATTCCCTAGATCAAGAGCCCCTCACCAGCATCAAGGAACCTCCCTTGAGGGTAATAGTGGCCAAAAAATATATATATTCTACGCTCAAAGAAATAGCCCCAAGTATACTCGACTTACATATGAACATCAAGATACCAGTGTCTTGGTTCCAGAGTTTTCATGCTTGAAGCAGTATGGATAAGTGCAGTTTACTTTAAAGATTTCTTCTGCCAATAACTTCACTTGTTGTGTTGTCACCCTTGTTATGTTGATTCAGTGGTCTGTTAGCGAGGCCAGGAGCTATAACTCGATCCCTGCAACCACAAAAATGCCAATACAAATAGGTTAGTACTGTTAGGTGCTTGTAAGAATCATCTCATTGTTGATCTTGCTTTTGCTGAAATTTTAGATACTGTTATACTTTCCATGTTTATATATTGCCTGTTTTTTTTTTTTAACTTGTTAACGTTTACAGTTTTCTTATTTATATGAAGTGGAAAAGAACCCACCTCTCAAAATGTTTTCAATGTTGTTTGGGATTTTAAGTGGTTCTTGCAAATGTAATGTCAAACAGTGGAAGAGAAAATGCTATATATTTCCTGGAACTGCAATGGCAATAAGAATGTGTTATTAATGTTCTGAGTGATGTATGGCATCCACACACTACTATGGACGAGGCAGAAGTTACCCCAACGTGAAAATGGTGAATTGTTTGTCTTCGACAGCTGACATAATTTTTTTTTTTATGTTGGGTTTAAGAGCCTCAACGGTTCTAGGTCCGTATGAACCCTCTGAAAAGAAAACCTTAGACGAGGTATCAGTCTATCGTTCATTATCTAGAAAGTAAGTTCAAAGGTTATTTAGGTACAAATCTACACAGTTTTGGAGTTGAAAAGTCTCACCTTCCCCTAAGGAAACTTTCCTCTCTCTTAGCTCCATGAGTCCTGAGCGGCTAGTTTATTGTGCACCTCATTAGATATTTTATTTCAGCATGATAAAATGTTCGTACAAAGGTGAATGACATTTAGGTGTGTATGCAGATAACCCCTTAACATGCAGAGTATTTCTGGCAAACTTAAGACAAATAGAAATGTCACTTTGTCTAACTTTCTTGAGTTATCCTGGGTAATCTACACATGCTATATGTGATAATTTATGTAACTGTATTTATGTGTACCTGTACCTGAATAAACTTACTAACTGTAAGCGCTAATAGTATTACAGAAGTAATAATGGGTCTGTCAGTTCCCAATGAGCATTGTTACTTCACTAGTAAGGAATATTAATGGTAATAAGATATTCCACCTTTTTTTCATATTGTATTCCATACTGTGCTGCAACCAACAACTATATGAAGTAATTGTAATATACGAAATGACTAATATTTCTTTCTAGTGATGTGACAATGCCCAGTGAGGTCTGACACAGACCCAGTGTGACCTGAGTAATACTGATTTTTGCTCTACCACTCACAGGATGAACTGTGGGTACACAGTAAACTAACTGCTCGTGGGTAAGGGATAACCCGCCCACACAGTGGGTAAGAGATAACCCGGCCACACAGTGGGTAAGAGATAACCCGCCCACACAGTGGGTAAGAGATAACCCGCCCACACAGTAGGTAAGAGATAGCCCGCCCACACAGTGGGTAAGAGATAACCCGCCCACACAGTGGGTAAGAGATGACCCGCCCACATAATGGGTAAGGGATGACCCGCTCACACAATGGGTAAGGGATGGCCCGCTCACACAATGAGTAAGGGATGATCCGCTCACACAATGAGCAAGAGATGACCTGCCCACATAATGGGTAAGAGATGACCCGCCCACACAGTGGGTAAGAGATGACCCGCCCACAATGGGTAAGGGATGACCCGCTCACACAATGGGTAAGGGATGACCCGCTCACACAATGAGTAAGGGATGACCCGCTCACACAATGAGTAAAATGTGTAAGGGGTGGGTGCATGATGGATGTATGTACAATTATAGCAACGGTGCCAGAATTCATTTTGTGTGTAACAAATGCACTTTGGCACAGTTACCCTTTAGCAGTGATGACATTGATTTACCTAATTTTAATACAAATGACCCATTGCCATATATTGATGATTATGATTGTTTTATGAAAACAGGCCTTCACTTTATTCATGTCAATGCAAGATCACTTCTTCCTAAATTGGCAGAGATTAGGATTCTAGCTAACAAAATTAGGGCGGCAGTTATAACCATCTCTGAATCTTGGTTGGATGATACGGTGACTGACGACGAGGTCAAAATAGAAGGTTACAATATAAAACGCTTAGATAGGAACAGAAAGGGCGGTGGAGTATGTGCCTACATTAGAAATGACTTAGCTTACAACCCAAGACCTGATTTAAATAACAATAAACTGGAGATTCTATGGTTTGAAGTGCTGCTTCCCAAGACCAAACCCATCTTAGTAGGAACTAGTTACCGCCCTCCTACCCAGGACCAGTTCTTAGAAGACTTTTCCAGAGTCTTGTCCGGAGTTGAAAGCAATTGCGAAACAATAATACTGGGCGACTTCAATATCTGTTTTCAGCAACAAAATAACGGGCTATGCAAAAGGTATAAGCAAATTCTAGGATTAAATAGCTACAACCCAACTAATTAATAAACCAAACCCCGGGATCACACAGTTCTCAGCCACCTAATTGACCACTACTTTTCAACCGCGCTGAGAACATTAGTCCGTTCAGGCGTCAAAACCCAAGGTCATTAGTGATCATTTTCTTTACATTACTGCACCAGGAAAATCACTAGGGATAGGAAACCCTACACAGGACAATAAAAAATGAGGTCAACTAGAAACTACAGTAAAGAAACACTGGTAAATAGGCTATACAATTGTGACTGGACAGAGATAACAAGTTGCACGGACGTAAACGATGCCTGGGAAAAATTCAAAACAATGTTCACTTACCATTCTTAATAATATTGCACCAGTTAAAGAGGTTGGGATTAAACGAAGAACTGAACCCTGATGACTACTGAGATATTAGATAATATGAAATTCAGAGACCCCGCTGCTAAAAAATTTAAAGCAAAAAGACAGGATATTGCAGCACTAAATAATTCCCAAAAGGGGAGGAACAGAGTACAGAGGCTTATAAAAGGAGCAAAGGCAAAGCACTATTGCTCCAAAAATTGAAGAATATAAGCATAACCCCAGAAAGCTCTGGCAACAACTAAAACAGTTGGGGTATAGCCATAAGCCAGTAGATAGGTCTAACATAGTACTCACTATCGATAATAAGGTATGCCACGAAACATCTAAGGTGGCAAATTGCTTTAATTCCTACTACACATCTGTTGCATCAACACTAGTAAGTAAAACACCAGCTGCATCAAATACCTTTAACACAGACTCTGATAAGTTTCAAACATACTATACCAATAAAGGGGTAACCCCAAACAGTTGTCAACTAGTAAGTGTATCTCATGACTTCATTCAAAAAGAACTAAGCAGGTTAAACCCAACTAAGAGCACAGGCCCTGATAACATCCCGTCTAAGTTCCTAAAAGATGGTGCTTTTGAACTGTCAATCCCTATTGCTCACATAATAAATCTATCAATCACCACTAATACCGTACCGGAGGGTTCAAGGAGGCCAGAGTTACTCTAATCTCAAGAAAAATAATAGGTCTGATGTAAGCAACTATAGACCTGTTAGTATACTCAGTATAATATCTAAAATTCTGGAGAGGGCGGTGTATTCTCAAGTAGTTAAGTACCTTAATGACAACAGCATTCCCATAGCTATCAATCGGCTTTAGAAGATCCTACTCAACCGATACCTCCCTTATTAATCTGATGGATTACCTGAGAACTGAAATGTCAAAAGGGAACCTCATAGGTATGGTAACCTTAGACCTGCAAAGGCCTTCGATACTGTCAACCACAATATATTATGTAAGAAACTTCAAGCTATCGTATAGGTTCTGTAGACTGGTTTAAGTCCTACCTTAGCAACAGGAGACAAATAGTCAAAATCAACAAAACGGAATCAGACCCCTGCCGATAACATGTGAGTTCCCCAAGGTAGTATTCTGGGTCCCTTACTATTCTTATGTTATGTCAATGATATGCCTATCAGTGTCAAGTGCAAACTCCTACTGTATGCAGATGACAGTGCTCTGTTAGTGACAGGTAAAGACCCACAAGATATTGCTAATGTTTTAACACTGGAACTGAGTCCTGCAGCAAATGGTTAGTAGACAACAAACTATCATTACACCTAGGGAAAACTGAAGCCATTCTCTTTGGAACGAAACATAAACTGAGAAGGGTAAATAATTTTAATGTTCAGTGTAATGGGGAGTCCATCACTTTGGTTTCATCAGTTAAATATCTGGGAATCCCCTTTGACCCATGCATGTCAGGAGAATTGATAGGGAACAGTGTAGTAAAGAAAGCGAATGCCAGGCTGAAGTTCCTGTATAGACAAGCACAGTGTCTACCTACTGAGGCTCGCAGGACCCTATGTCTAGCCCTTATACAATGTCCATATGGATTACGCTTGCTCTTCTTGGTACTCTGCCTTGACAAAAAAACTGAAAGATAGACTGCAAATCACCCAGAACAAAAATCGTAAGATTCATCCTGGGGCTGGGACCAAGAGAACATGTAGGCCAGGATGAATTACAGCAGTTGGATATGCTGAATGTTGAAGACAGAGTAAAACAACTGAAGCTAAATCATGTTTATAAAATTGCTCACGAACAGTGTCCAGAATATCTTGCTGTCAATTTTGTCAAGGTTGGGAACCAAAGCAATCATAGTACTAGGGGGAGAGAGCACAACTTTGTAGTACCCACAGTCAGAGGCCAGGCTTCAAACACCTTTTATTGTACAGCAATAAAGGAATGGAACAGACTACCCACAAATGTCAAGGCCAGTCATAGCTTGAACCAGTTCAAGAAGACTGCCAAAAAGTGTCTGATGAATGAAGCAACAGAAAGGGAAGGGAATGATTTTCTATTTTTTAGCTAAAATACGTGTAAATTTTACCTTATCCCTAGTAATGACCCTCGTATTGTAGATAGTCGTAATGCCCCTCGTATTGTAGATAGTCTTAATGACCCTCGTGTAGTAGATAATCTTTTTAGTATGATAATAAGATGTTATCTTCATTATAGAATAATAAGAAAATATTATAACCTTTATATTATAATAATAAGGTAAAAGGACCCCAATGGAAATAAGTCACTCTGTCTGACTTTTTTGGGTTATCCTAGGTTCTCTACACATATGCTGCTATGTATGATAATTCTATGTAACTGTATTGTGTATACCTGAATAAATTTACTTACTTACTTACTTATGACCCGCTCACACAGTGGGTAAGGGATGACCCGCTCACACAATGAGTAAGGGATGACCCGCTCACACAATGAGTAAGAGATGACCCGCTCACACAGTGGGTAAGGGATGACCTGCTCACACAATGAGTAAGGGATGACCCACTCACACAATGGGTAAGGGATGACCTGCCGCACAATGAGTAAGGGATGACCCGCTCACACAATGAGTAAGGGATGACCCGCTCACACAATGAGTAAGAGATGACCCGCTCACACAGTGGGTAAGGGATGACCCGCTCACACAATGAGTAAGGGATGACCCACTCACACAATGAGTAAGGGATGACCCGCTCACACAATGAGTAAGAGATGACCCGCTCACACAGTGGGTAAGGGATGACCCGCTCACACAATGAGTAAGAGATGACCCACTC